TTTATACAGTATTTGCATTTTTAATACGATCTTCCCCATCACTACTGGTCATCAGTTTTAATCCAGCTTTCATCTTTAATTTTCAGTTGATGTTGAATTTTTCCTCTTGCGTGGATTTTTACACTTTCAGATCTTTAAAGGATTGTTTTGGGTAAATTAAAAATTTCGACATGATTTTATTGGCCGCATCTTTACATTTGGGATCTTATGAAAACACATCCTTGCTTTAAAATATAAATAAGTATTGAACATTTTTTTAGACAGGCCCAATAAAACAAAACGTGCTTCTGCAAACAAACTGTAGGCCACCGAGGAGAAAATAAATTAAGTTTTTCAACAACTTTATGAGTTTTCTGCATTTTTGATATTTGAAGAAAAACAAAATCTTCTGCATTTTTTATTTACTTTATAAAACAAATTAGAGGTGCATTTTTAATTCAGGTTATAGCAAACATGTGAAAAAGAAACAATATTAAATGTCTGTTTTATTGTTAAACATGCTGAGGTGAACACCACTGGCAGAATTTCTTTTTAGTTCTTGAGTCAATCCTTTACTATAATATGTGAAAATATGTTTTAAATGAGTTGTCATTTAAAGCAAACAAACAGCTTCTCTGTCTAAATCAGTGTCCTGCACACAGAGCAGAGCTGGACATTTAATCATTGTCTCTTCCTGTTGTGTCCTCAGTGGAGTGGCTCTGTCCAGAGCTCACTTTGAGAAGCAGCCGCCCTCCAATCTCCGCAAGTCCAACTTCTTCCACTTTGTCCTGGCGCTCTATGACAGACATGGCCAACCTGTGGAAGTGGAGAGGACGGCCTTTGTGGACTTTGTTGAGCATGAAAAGGTGTGTGGGTCACCTCTTTGCTATCTCTAAAGTTTGAAGTTTGGACTTATTTTTTCCTCTCATAAAACTTCAAATAAAAACAAGAGTCAGTATCTGATTAATAACACCAGAACTGTATTAACCAGGTGCTCAGCTCACTCTTCCCCATGAAGCCAAACATATCGAACAGCTGACGGCGACATGTTTACACAAGCTTTACCCTCCATGAGCTGATGATGTGGGATTGAAAAAGAATATCTAATGACTAATTAGCAGCTTGCCTCATTAGGAGGACATCACTACTTTTTTAAAAATGCAAATGATGCTCGCTCTTGCTAAGATATACACTGAACTAATCATCAAAGTGCCTTCATGCCCCCCCCCCCCCTCAAATACTTTTACTGTTGGAGGGAGCCAAAATAAGACAAGACCAAAACAAGAAGGGTCCAACATGAAGACAGTTTTAAATAGAGAGGGGGACAGGGCCTGGGGTGAGCCTGATGTTCAGCGCTGACGGATGAGTCCTGCCTTGTGGTGTGGAAGSTTGGGGGTAGGGTGGACGGGTGGGGGCCTCCTGAAGTAGCAGCATCTCTGTCCTTTGGGGAAGGAAAAGGGGACACCATCCTGTCAAGTGGAAGTTCAAAGGCAGTTTCCTGTGCTGTAATTGATGTAGGCGGCGGTGCTAATGCCAGGGCTGAGAGCTGTCACTGTTGCTGCTCGCTGTGCCACACAGGCCAGCACACAGCCACGTGATGACAGCGGAGAAGTTCATTTTCTGCATGGTTACCCTGGCATCTGTTTTTGCCTCATAATTATGTGGCGGCGAAGCGATGGCATGGCAAAAAAAATAAAAAATAAAGGGCTCCTCTGTGCGTCTTTGCAAAACTTATGAAGCCAGGCATCCATCGATCACCTGTTGTGTGTCTCAACTTCACTCCTYATTTCAGGTTCGGAGCCTCCTCTGCTCTCTGCCTCGTCTTCTTCGTGCATCTTAATTTCCACACTCTGGTCTCGCAGCTATCTCTTTTTCTCCTCCCCAATCTCCTTGTTCTCTCTTCTCCTTTCCCGAGCTCATCTCTGTGATGCCAGCCTCCTGGGTTATTGGACCAGAGAGCATTCCTTTGAGACCACTTAGAAAGACCAGGAGAGGTAGGGGAAGTGAAGGAAAGAGGCAAAACAACAGCCAGGAAGGAGCAAAGAGGGAAGAAGTGAGAGCCTGGGATAGTGGAAAAGAAGTTTTTATGTCAAGGTCGACTGGTGCTCAGCAGGGGAACACAATTGCGCCCACGCACTCACACACACACACACACACATTTGTCTCCTACCTCGCTGCAGACACGGCCATTACATTTAATTTCAGTGTTTTAAAAGGTTTGTGTCAGAGATCTTAGTTCTGCCTTTATAAAAAGTCTGCAACTTAAAGGTAAAGTGATCGTTCATATCTTGTAAAAAGGGCTTCTGTAGAAATGTTATAAAAAATTAATATCTTACCTGTTGTAGATAACTCTTCGAACAGCCCCAGTTTCCTGAGCTGTCAGATGAGTGAGGGAAAAACTAAAGTGAGCTGCAGCCAGCAACTTTAAACTAAAATTAGTTTTTTTATGGTGATACACGTGAACACTATTTAATAAACCTTTACACTTCCTTAACTTCCATGTTAGAGCACAGAAGTGATATATTGGTGCTGGAATGGAAGAGTGCAGGCTGCACCATGACTGTTATAATATACTGTTTAGAAACATAAAACCTTTTTGGTCATCAGACATGAAGTTCACATTGTTGCAACRGCAAAGGCATTGATAAAAATAATGACATTCATTTTTTCAACTAAATGAACAAAGTAAATGTTTAAGCATACAAAGATCCAAATAAGTTTGTGTAACAAAATAAAAAATGTGTAATGGAAAACCGACAGTGATGTATCTAAAAGACAGGAGTCACCTGAGTTGTTTTAAGGTGACAGCAGTCCACTTTGGTCTTGACCTCACTCAGACTAGCCTTTAGCTCATCAATTTAGTCTAAGTTTCTGAACTGAGGATGTCTAAAAAGCTATTTACATTGAGCAAGAACCCCATGTTAAAAGATCTGAACTATTGCTTTAAGCTTTACGCGTATTCACACCAAGAGTCCCATAAAACCTTTGAGCTCTGATCTTAAACTTACCCTAGCTCAAGTGCCTCATGCGTACTGATGTCCAGCTGCACTTTTAAATGCCCCAGTGTACTCATCTGTGTACCCTGTGTTTGTCTGTGTGTGTGTGTGTTTTTGTGTGTGCATGTGTGTGTCTTTTTCCAAGGAACAGACAGGAGAAAAAACGAACAACGGCACACACTACAAGCTCCAGCTCCTCTACAGCAACGGTAAGCGGGAACAAACATTAAAATGTAGATTTTAACTCCCCGTCTGAGTTGTGTGATCAGTTCGACTCGCTCCCAAAGTCTGCAGGAGCTGCAAAAGTTTCGGACGACACACACAAATCACCCACATCTCATTGTGTGATGCTTTTCCTTAAAACATTTTTAAAGCTTTGCAAGCTGCCACTTTAGGGCTTGTGCATCACCAACCCCATCAGAACCCCCCCCCCCCCCYCACACACACACACATACACTCACACACACTCCCCCTCCAGCTCTTCGACTGACTCWGATCCTGGGGATGCGCAGAAAAAGAAAATCTGTTTCCCATGAGCCACTGCTGCCCCTGCTCTGCCATCACGCTGGCACCCATGGGAAAGAAGATGAAAGACGTGTTCTCGAGCAGCTCCCTCGTTCACACACTCAGACACACACATGTACATCCAAACACGCCAAAAAGCCCTCCATTCCCTCTGGCGATATCAAAGGCATCTCGATCGGGACTTTGATGAGAGGAACACATTTTAAAAGCAATACTCTCAAAAGTCTTTATGAAAGAAAGAAAGAGAGAAAAATCGTTTTCTCAAGTAGCAGCTCAGAACATGTTACTTCTACTTTTTACTACTAATTTACTGTGGAGGTTTAGGTGTTTCTGAAAATCTCACAAAGAGACACCTAAAAGTTTACCAAACTGTTGAAAAAGATCTCCATCTCCGTTTTACCTGCTGTTTCCTAACATTTACCCTGTCAGGTTTCTCACTTCGGAGGCAAATAAACAAAAAGAACTACAACATTAAAAAAAGCTCATCCTGAAAAATCGTGAGAATCTGGTAAATTATGGCCTGAAAACAAGACATGAGCAATGTTTGTCAAACATCAAATGACTCTCAATCCCTCAGAAACCATCAAACACACACACACACACACACACACACACACACACACACAC